CACTAAGTGTACAGTTCAATTTTGTATTACTTAATCATTAACATGTCTAACCAATATATGGCCTCTTTGTTTAAAGTAGCTGTCAACGGGTCTTGGGTTCATTCCCCACCGGGTCTTACCTGTTTCTAAACAATTTGTAATTTTTCTGAAACATGTTGGACTTCGTCTGGAAATCTGGATATTAAATGAGTAGTAGGAATACGGAAATACCGTTCGAGTCACGAAGAACCGTCCACAGATGATAAGCTATGAAGATTAATCATGGCTTTTTTCAGGTTTCAGTCTGTGGATTTCCGAATATCCAAAACAAAAACTATGCTATATATATATATATACACTTCGTACGGGCTTATCATTTTGAGATAAATGGAACGACCTAAATTCGATTTCAGGTAGCATAAAAAAGGTTTTTTATTTGACATATAGAAATAGTGATTTGCCTGGCCCATACTTTTAGTCATAATACCTTTAAAAACGGAGTTTAACTTAAACACTGTCTGAAGTTTACGCGAGTAGTAAATAAAACACTAACGGTTTAAAACGAGATGTTTGTAACTATTTTTTGGGGGGAGGGGATCCGAGACCACGGCTAGTTAAATAAGTGTTAAAATAATTTTCAAATAAGTTTAACCAATATATATCGGAATAAAACCTATTAGCAGAGATATTGGTTCAGCTATCCCTTACGAAAACATTCGCTATTTAAACAGATAGTAAAATAAACATGAGAGATGACCACACTAAGTGATTTCTGCTATTTTAAGATCTTCGCGTAATTAATCAAAGTAAATAATGATACCATTGAAGAAGCGCAATTTATGAGTGTTGAAGCTTGGTTTTAACATTGTCTGTTAATGTGGGACCATATGTTAATGTCTGTCGGGATGTTCCAAGGCCGCTTTTTTTTACTTGTTAGGGCTTCGAACCTAACCTAACGTTTAATGTTAAACAACAAATCACATAGTGAAAATATGATATAGAGAACTTCATCAAACGAAATGTGCGTATATACACAGTCTGTGCTTAAGTTAATTATACAGTAGACTACTGTTTGTGGCCCGCCGACAGCAAAAGTAATACTTAATTAATCAATTCTTTTTAAATTTTAATACATCATTATCTATTCTTTATTGTCTTTAATTGCCTAATCTTCTGGGGGCCGCCATCAGTTCCTGATTTGCCCGAAGCCCCTAGTCTTAATAAGTCTGCAACTCTGGTGGCTAAATTAAAATCGTCTTTAGATTAAAAATACGACACGGGCGGGACCTGAACAATCCACGTTCCGCTCTAACGTATTCAGCTACGCACTTCACGGTACAAAAATAATAAAACTTCAATTTGGCTGCAATAAATAATAAAGGCAAGCTCCAAATATCGCACCGATCGTAAAAAAATGCGACAAAGTAAAAAATAAAAGTATCAAGACGTCTCGAGTCACGCTAACCTGTCATGTTACTCAAGCGAACACAATTATATTCAAAATGGCTATTTATTGCTTCGTAATATACATACCTATTTTGGATTTTTCTGGCGATCAAAATCCAAATTAGTCATAACTACAACATCTAAGTAACCCTTGATTCGCGTAGTTAGATAAGAATCTGTTTTTCCTTCGAGGCTATTCTTTGTCTCGTCTGGTTTAGACAGGCTCGCTACTTGAATCATAGATTTTTATATATACAATCACTTGAGAAACATGTTAGAATTGGATGAGGACAAGCACGGTGAACTTTTCACGCATATACATTATGCCTGTCGACCACTTTTGACTTACTATTCAGAAATTTACAGATTGAAACCGGAACGCGAATAAAGTTCACGGCTTTTCGTCTGTAAACGGCGGTTTGTGACCCGAAAGGTATTCCTACTACTATTTCCACATGTTGATTAGAATGTTGCATCCGGCGGAGTTCGAACCCACGACTCGTTGATTATTTGCTATACTTAGCAACCATTAGACCATTGATCCAGTCACATTGTTCATAAAGTAGACACTGTTTGGTAGGAGTAACGAAATTTCGGCCGGGACAAACCACTGTCAACAACAACTTTTGAATTTACAAATCTAGAATAGGGCGACGACGCATCTTGTTTAGATGTTATATAGCTGTTGTTTTACACTTTCCATCAAGTGAACCACATGCTAGTCTGTTATCTATCATGAAGAAGTCTTACTGCTTCAAGTACATACAAAGAGGATACATGATATAAAAACTTGGTGGTCCTTTAGGAGAGAATCTTCAAATTATTTCCACTTTAAGCGAATCAAGAAACTGGAGCATCAATAAGATCCCTCTCGCGATGAGAAGTTTCCCATGACTCAATAATATTCAAATATGATCCCATCAGTGCCTATATGGGAACCGACATTTGATTTAACATTTTTTTTTCTCAAATTCCTCAATGATATCTGATTTCAAAATTTTTCCCGCGTAAAAATAAATGATTATTTATTAATTAGGGTCGCGACAGACAAGGGTAATTGTGCAATACAATAGACGACTGAGCGAGCGAATAACGACCTTAACGACATCTGTTAATGTTCAATATTAATTGGCCGTCCAAACCTTTTCAATGTGTACGATCAAGCTTGAATGAACTCTATTTCTTAAAATTTAGGCGTCATTTTTCCATACCCAATTGGCTTAAGATTATAAAAGGGATGTATTCGTCATAAAAATAAGGACTCTTATTATATTGCAATTAAAGTCATTTTTGTGTAATACAATGGTAGGCTTTTGTCTGCATTCGGCGAGGTTTAAATTTCATATTATTTATATTAGCTTTAATTTTTTTAATGTTCAATATAATTATTTGGGGGTTTTTGTGCAGATGGACCGTGCTGTACCCGAGGGTAACCTAACACTCGGTCGATAATTTCATCTTTCTATGTGCAAAACTAATTTATATAGATATTGACTGTAGTGTGTTAGTAGTACACATTTAAATATGCGTTCAGTGGTTTAAAACGCGAAATATATATTATTGGTTTACTTATTTTAACTACGGCCCGATATTTTCGAAACAAATATCAGTTAACTAATAAGTAGTTTCGCATTTTAAACCGTTAAAAGTGTGTATATGTTTTATCTGAATAGCTCATCTACATCACATATACATACAAACATATAAACAGGCCCAAAATATTTGACTATTATATATATTATGAACTATCTATCGACATTAGTTTTCCCTGGGGTATGGGGCAGAGCCATTGATGTATTGCAGATGTATTTATCACAGACTAGTAATTGATGAGACTTTATTTCTCTGCCTAGTAAAGCGATTTATTATGTTTTACCTGGATTGGAAGCCGGGACATGCATCTAATCGTAATAAGGAGACATGAAGCTTAATTAATATGCAATTAAGTTTTTGAAGTTTTTTATACATTTTAGATTTTTAGAATATGTTTGTACTTAGAAAACTTGAAGTCTAGAGTTTTATTTTTTTTAATCATAGAGTGGGACAGAGTAGGGGTTCACTTGATAGAAGATAATATGCCCCTGCCTTATAGCATCTAAACAAGTATGCGCTGTCGGCCTATTTTGGCTATGAATATTTTTTATAAATATATATATATATTACTTTTAGATTATTGTTTGGCCGCCTTCTTAGTTCCTGACAGTGAAAATAAAGTGTAGATTGTTAAGCGGCAACATTATTATAGATCTCTTATACGCTATATTAAAGATTATTTATTACCAGTTGCAAAATAATGTCTACCATGGAGTTAAGTGTGAGAGCTCGTAGGTTCGAATCTCGAAACAAAGATAAATTGCTTTTTTTATCATTTGTCTAAAAATAACCACTTAAATAAACACAGAAATTTGCCTAAAAAACAAGAGACTAGTTACAGAGAAAACATAGTTAAACGGTTTAAAACCTACATTCAATGTCTTAACAATTTATTTTAATTACGGCCCGACGTTTCGAATGCTTTGCTGCAGCCCTGGCCACATGGAACTGAAGATGAAGGGTATCCCTAATATAAAAGTATCTGTTTCAACATCGTCGTCAGCTGCAAAGCATCCCGATCCAAAGCATTGAAATTACATTGCGCGAGAGGTGCATGTACCAAAAGTTGAAAAAAAATTCGACGATGAACTCGGTAGCTCAATTGGTAGAGCAACAGCACGGAACACTGACGATGTCGGTTCATGTACTGCCTGAGTCAAATTTTTTTTCAAATTATTTTCGTTTTTTTAAATTATAAATAAGTTAACTAATATATTTTATTATATCACTAAGGTGGCGCAGCAAAAACTTTAAGTCAATTCCATTGCAGACAGGTACGATGGAAGCAAACACTGTACGTCCTATCCGTATTGAAAAAAATCATTTGTCTATTCGAGTGTACGCCGAGTCCCTCCCCTCACCATCAATTATGTATGAAGGCTTCTTGAATAAACAACAAAGACTTCCAAACATTCACTTTATTATAATTACATTCATTTTACATATATTTACATAACTCTTAAAGCTCGCGAGCGGATTCCGTGTCAAATTCTATTAGTTACAGTATGACAATGATCATTTGAATTAACTTACGATGAACAATGGCGTTTTAATATGAAACACATTGAAACAATACGCAACGGAATGAAAAGTCACCAGGACAGATGCTTGGAATGTAATTAACTGAAATTCAGTTAAAATCCGCTGCTCAGCTTAATATATTTACAAGAATTATTCATAAATATCACCACACATATACTGGCACATTAATATTACATTTTTACAATAAATAATTAAGTATATTTGGTATCAAAAATGCTATCACTTCAATCGCGCATTTGTTACAATTCCTTTTTACAACATAACTTACAATTATAATATCGACAAATTACAATACTTTACAAATTCATATTCAGATGAACATTTAAACTTCCAATCAAATGTCAACAATTTCACAATAAATGTTCTTCATGAAAGAATCATGTATACTTTGATTAAAGCACAGATAACACATCCAGTTGAATTAGGTCATGGGAGATTTGCTATCTACCACTAAACATCTGGTCACACTTCTCGACTTGACTCAGCACCTTATTTATTCTCTCTTGCAGGATCTTCGCATTCTTCTCCGGCAACGGAGGCAGAATGTCTCTTATGACAGCGTTATTTTTCTTATGAAACATCTCACTGAGCTTAGCACCTACAGATACATCTCGTAACTCTTTCAATGAATCCACTGTCCTTTTCCTGAACACGCACAGATTATCTAACATTAAACTATGGTACACATTGTATTTCTTCAACAGCCTGTACCCGTGCAACAAACCAGACTCGTTGTCCAGGAACATTAGCAACCCGCTGTCCATTTTGCGCGCCAAATTGTGCGCCGGACCATCCATGATATTCACGTTCCACTGATAATTGAATAAATTATTTACAATTCTATCTAAATTCGCCGTTAGATAGTCGAAAATAATTAAATCCGACCATTGGGCTAATTCTACGAACAGTTCTATCGTCTTCTTATTTAGTTTCATGTCTATGTGATCGAAGTCTTCCTTTTTATCTGTCTTCGTCTTAATGTTCTTCGCTTTTAGTTTATCTAGTAGAATTTGTTTGCTATCTGTATCTTTCTCTTTTGATGTGATCTCCAGAACGTCTTTCTTATTGAGATGCCGATTTGACGGTTTGAATATGTCCGGTATCGTCGCAGATTCTAAGCTCGGAATGTACTGAGTCAAAACCACAGCTCTGTTTGTGTTCCATTGTGCTGTTGCGATGTCATTCGCAACATTGGACCATAATTTATCTTTTAAATCGACGATCTTAACAACGGATGGCGCTAGATTAGTTAAATTCAACAATCTAGCTACGTAGAAACTAAATATCTCACCCTGTATCTGGTCAGTATTCTGCCTGTACCGAACGCAAGCTTGGATTCCGTCTTTGAAAGTGACGAGGCGGTTCTGCATTCTACCACAACCAGATTCCATCTTCTCGACTTCGCTTTGGCCCACATATTGTTCCCAAATTTCTGCAGTGTTTTCTCCGTAGCCTTGGGGCATAGAATTTTCTACTTCGGGGCCCCAGTAAATGTTGTTATATAGGACGGTGTTATCGTTGGGTATATGTACTGTCCTATTGATAGTAAGGATTTTATGTTCGTGATGGTTATTTTTGTTGTCCTTTAATATTTCCTTCATGTCTTCCGTTAGGCTTTTCGGGTATATATCTTTGTATTTATAACTATCACCCGTAAACGACACAGCCGAGAATTCTTTTCTATCTAACATTGCTAGTTCTCTCGTTTCTTTTGGTAATGAATTGAGTGATCTTAAAGTTGAGTTTATTCTTCTAGGACTTAGTAAGATTGTATTTGACTGCGATCTCATGAGAAGAACGCCAATTATGAATCCTAATATGAAACTGAGGCATACGCTTATGAAGCAGTAGTTATAAAAGCTATATTCTCTTTTTATGCTCAGTCGCCTGGGTAATTCCTCTTTGTAGAAGTTGTTGTACACGATATAACTAGGCTTCTTAAACATTGTGTTGCTTGGTTTAATGCTTAACTGGTTTTCTAGATATTCTTTTGTTTTCGAGGATTTTACATTTTCTTCGCGTAGAATGGTTTTCTTGTCTGCCATCTCGATTTTTACACCATGATGCTATCTGTAACAAAAGAGAAGGTATATTATTATTAATGGCATATCGCTTATATCTTGTCATTTTATGTGAAGGATAAATGAGGCGGCAAGATTTTAAAAAATCTTTTGCCTTATAGTTGACATAAGGTAATTTGATGAAGTTTACGCGAGTACACATTGAAATAAAACACTTTTAACGATTTAAAACGTGAAATATGTTAGTAAACTTATTTTATAACGGGTTGTTACTTTTTAGATGCTGTACAGCATGTTTATGGGGGTGGGACGGGGGACGAAAGAAAATGTTCGTGTTTTACACCGTCACGAGTGTTTTATTAAAGCTTTATATATTTATCTGTCAATTATAAAGGAAAAATCCCGTTTCCATAATACAGCGAAGAACATAAATAGTTAAGTAAAAGAACTTTAAATTACAAGTTTTAGAAGCTATAATTTAAAAATATGCCGTCTCTCCGCGTAACCAGATATTCTGTCGGACAGACAGTTAATCACGCGATATTTACTATTTATAAGTTACATTGAGGCTTGATTTATTTTATTGCTTTACATTTTTATGTATTTTCAACAATGGCTGGGGAGAATCGACCGCTGTCTCTATAGAGACAGCGGTCGATTCGTAGACGTACTCGTAGTTCGTATTCGTTAACGTTACCTAGCATTGCGTAGATAGAGGTCCGGTCCCTAACCTAAGCCCTTGCACGCCGCAACGGACGCTAAAATATATCCGCCTCATGGCACAGGGGAAACGGTGGAAGAAAATGTACAAGAAATATACACATATTATTTCTTAATGCAATTAAAATAAGATCTTAGTTTGGACTACTAGTTAACTTAAGATTAGTAGAAATGTTTATGCTATTGGCTGTAGATTTAATTTTCGACCGTGTCATAAATTTTTCAATGCATGAACAATCGTAATTACAAAGCTTTTATTTCATAACGTTTTTAGATACCTAAAGGAAAAGTCGAATACATTTATACAAATATCAAACCCAATACCTAAATAGGTACTTTACTAAGCGGTGATATAGGTTCGAAACTTGCTCTCGTAATATTGAATTATAAATCACTTTTTGACGTTAAAACATGAACGACAATAGGATCTCTTAGAAAACAAATAAAAAAAAGAGGTTGAATTTCGTAATCAAAGGTTTTACTTGCTAAGTACCTACCTACGCATACTAAAGCCTTAGAGTAACATAGAGCAAACCGGAAACCGTATAAAAACGTTATCAATAATATTTATCTTGTATCGTAGTAATTAAGAGATTAACATACACACTCGTGTCAATCAAAGCGAGGATTAGATTAAAGCACTTCATTTAGATTCTACGAACATATTGTTTATAAATTAAACACGAATCCTGATTTTAACAGAGAAATATTTAGAATGGTTTTCAAGAACAGACACCACATAACACACTGATAGAATTGATTTACTAATGTTATTTAAAAAAATAAATACAAAATCTATATAGATCAAGCAATTTTAACGGTTTGAAACACGATAGGGGAAACGTCGAGCCATAGTTTACTAAAATTGTAAACAAGTAACTTTATTTCGCGTTTGAAAAGTGTTTTGTATACGTGTGTACTATTCGCGCAAATTACAGACTATACTTACATAATCTATGCTATTTTGTAATTGTGCCTCATGTGACATAGACAATTACGTTTGTCAAAAATTTAAATTGTCAAAAGTATTTTCGCGCGTTTTTTTAGAAGAACGATCACATCTACGTCTTTAAATTTTAATGCGCTTTGGATATTTCGGGCTATTTGAAAATGATTGATAGACTGATTATCAGTCTCCCCGTGACCACGGCTGCTGCAAAGCATCCGAAACGTCGGGCCGAAGTTAAAAATAATTTTCAAATAAGTTTAACTAATATATCGCGTTTTAAACCGTTAAAGTGTTTTATTTAAATAGACTGATTATCTCTTAAATTAAGTATATAAATGCATTGCCTAGAGTTTCTAGGTTTGAATCTCAGAAAAGTTATGAATTTTCCATTAAATCAGGCACAGTGTACTACTTGCCTGTAAATCAAATCGATTAGTGAACCGGATATAGATATTTTTTAAACTTAATTGAATTAGTATATTAAAGTCAATCAGAAGCCACAAATCAAGAAACATCCAGTGAAACGGTTCTACCGTCCGGTAAAAAACTTAAAATCGACACAGAAACACATAAAAAAACGTTAAAAAATAACGACCCATGACACAGAATGTGTTTAACAAAATTCTTACAAGCGGACATAAAAAAATAAAAAACCATCACTCCGCTTCGATGAACACAAAAAAGCTTGTTAGGAGGTTTTTTTGTATCTATATAGAGCTGTAACAATCGCGGTTCTGTCCGTATCGGCTTCTTATTCGAGCAAAATCATGCTTTTATCGTGATGACCTTTTTAATTTCCAGTTTTCGTAATAAAATTAAAAAATGATTAAATGCAAAAAATAAACCAACAACAATTTTGTGGTCTTGAGAGTCGTTAATCATTCTTCATGATGCATGAAATTAAGAAAAAGAAAATTTATTTAAAGACCCAGCACCTTAAAAGGCAACAATAAAAATTAATACAGTCATAACATCACATAAAACGTGGAATAAAAATAAACAGTCTTAATTATGTTATAAATTAATATAATCGCTCGTTTAAGCCGATAGCGGTATTATCAGCTCTATAAGATTCGTATAATAACCGGTTACCATGGAAACAATATTCTTAATTAAATTATTATAGAGCTAACTTAATAATTGTAGGCTGTTGCCAGCACTGTGTAATTTCGTGACGCTTACTGTGTTTGTTTTTCTGTAATTATTACACGTTTTTGTTTCTTCAATTGTGCTTAAAGCTGTTTAATTTGTGCTTTCAGTATAATAGTATGAAATTTCGCGTATATTTATAATTATTGCTGCTACCTTAAGATTTTAAACATCTTTAAATTAAACACAAAATCTAGATTTAATAAGTTTTATGTAAATAGAACACTTTTAACAATTTAAAACAGCGAAATATGTTAGTTAACTTATTTACAATTTATGAAAATTCAAATAAATTGTAAATAAGTTACATTATATTTCCCTCTGTAAACCGTTAAAAGTATTTTATTTAAATATAGGTACTATTTGCATGAACTGCAGACAGTAGTATTTGATATGTTTACATTCTAGAAGTCGCTTTACATAATTTTTGACTGTTTGTTTGAGAATTACTCAAAAATAATAAGACGAAATAGATCGTGGTAAACCAGTCACAGATTAGATAATTACGGGGTTACTATTAAGCTAAGTAGGAAACTTCTAGACGTCTTCACAATTATCTATGGAGTTTCTCTTGGAATTAATTCAAAAGAAATAATTACAAGTACTACAAACGCGCAATGCGTCGGTTTATAAAATTAATAAGCTAACAAATATTTTTAATATTTTGACAAGTATAGCTTTCTAGTGATTATGGAGCATGACGAGACAATTATCTGTAGCTCGACGATAGAGTGCGGCGGAGATAGCATAGCTTTAATTGCGATGTACCCAATAATATTGCCTTCCCAATTACTACGCACTGGCTTTTATTGATCATTTAATTCGTTGAAAAATTACGACACGGCCAGGACTTGAACCGGCATCTACAGTGTTCCGTGCTGTTGCTCTAACCAATTGAGCTACCGAGTCCTACACGTCATCGTCGATTTTTTAATTATTGATAATCACCTCTCGTTAGTGTTGTTTAGATGATTGGCTGGCACTTAATATTCAAACACAAAGTGTGTCTATGTCATGTTTTATTTACAATATTCTAAGTACGATTTATATTGATTTGAATAAACATAATAATTTTCTAAATACTTACCTATATCTAACCTAACCTAACCTAAGATAAAAAAATTGGTACTATTTAATAGTACTTACTCCAAAGCTGCTGCTCTTTTGTTTTGAAACTTACACTCTAATAGCTTTCCGATATGAGCAGTGGACGCGCTCTATAGTCGCCGTTTCATACTAAACACGCTCTTAACTAAAGTAGGTTATACTTGACCCTCGTTACTAACAAGCTTCCTGGTATGAATGTATGGAAACTCTCGGGCGTTTAAAAGAAAATATTTATCTGTAGCTAACTATTTAAATAGCTGTGTCACTTTGTCCGCGTAGAATAGTTATTTTAGGCATACAAATTTGTTTTCGCAAACGTCTTCGCCTATGTAGATGTAAGCTGTTGCATCGCGTCGCGTCGTTGTTGCAAGTTACTCTTCGAAGATAGGCATATAGCGTCACGGACTTTTTTTAGATGATTTAAAGAGCAATTATTTTTAATACATCTTAACCCATTTTTTGTCTCCCTCTTTCTCGCTGTAACTTCGTTCCTATTAGTCACAGTACAATGTTTTATATAATTTTTTAATAATAAACGTTATAACCGACACGAAAACAATTTTTCCATTCGGACCAGTAGTGTCTGAGATTAGAGCGAACAAACAAACTCTTCAGCTTTATATTAGTATAGATGAGCAATGCAATTCAGACCTTGATACATTCGTTCTCCTTTAAATAAGTAGTTTGTCTGTCTGCGAGTGAAAATGCTGGTTTATCAAGTAGACCATAAAACAAATTTCTATGAAGTATCAAAAAAACGAGTCATTAGCATCTCTGGGGTCCAAGTAAGGCATTTTAATGAACGAGGATGGTTGAGAATTCCACGGGTAGATAAGTGGATTCCGAGGAAAAAGGGTTAGTGCAAATATAGACGTTGCTAAAGTTGCAGGTGCATTGGGACCTTTGACGTCATAACTAGTATGCCATACCATTTTTTATGATAGAAGAGGACCGATAGGCCCGGGGTTCACTTAGTGGAGTCAAGATGATGCATAGTCGATTTATTTTGGCTATCTGATATGAAACCTCATGACTAAAGAAATAAATGCGAGGACTAAAATATTTCTTTAGATATATGACCATACAATATATAATGGTC